GCCCTTCTTGGCCCTGTTGTCGTTCTCTCTCGTTCTCGCTTTCGCTCCTCGTCGTCGTCGCCGTCGTCGTCGTCGTCGTGGTCGGTCCCCTGTCCGTCCCTCTTGGGGTCGGGTCGACGGTCCGCGGCCGCCCCGCCGATCAGCGCTGCCGCTGGCCAGGCCGACGGTCCGCGGCCGCCCCGCCGCTTGCCGGGGCCCGGCCTGCAGGGAAGAACGGTATACCCCCCAAAAGGGGGTCGATCGAAGACGAAGAGGGCGGGTATCGAGGGTTTGGGAAATACGCGTTATTGGACACTCGAGCATATAAGGGCGATCGGTCTTAGAATTTGTTGTTGTTGTTATTGTAGTTGTTGTTGTAATTGTTGTTGTTGTTGCTGCTGCTGCTGTTGTTGAATTAAGAATAATTAGTGTTGACCCCCCCCGCCGGTGCATACTCTTTTTTCTCAATCAAAGTGTGCCCTTCGACGCTCGCACCATGTTTTTTACAGGAAAAGTCTTCCTGCTCAAACTGGGCCCGTGGCCCCCCGGTTACAAAAACAACGGCTCCCGCGTGAGACTTCCTTACAATTCTGCCAGGACCCTCGCTCCCGCCCGAGACTTCCTCGCATTTTATTCAGGAATCGCGCTCTCGCTTGGGATTTCCTTGCAATTTATTCAGAAATCGCTCCCCCGGCGCTCTGGAGTCGCGCTCTCGCTGGAGATTCGCTTGCAATTTACTGAAGAATGGCCTTGCGTTGGAATTTCTTGCAATTTGCCCAAGCGCCGCGCTCCTGACACCCAGGCACCCAGGAGTCGCGCCCGTTGTGGCCCCATGTGCATGCCCTTCGTGGCCCCGTTGTCGCCATTTGTGTCCCCCTCACTGTCCTACGTCGCCTAGTTGCTACCCTCAGTGGCCCCATAGTTGCTTTCTGTGGCCCCGCATTATCTGCACTTCGTGGCCCCCGCTCGTTCGCGCTCTTCGTGGCCCCATACGCATTCCCTTCGTGTCCCCGCTGTCGCCCTTCGTGGCCTACTTCGTGCCATTCGTGGCCCTGCTGTCGTTCTCTCTCGCTCTCGCTTTCGCTCGTCGTCGCCGTCGTCGTCGTCGCGTCGTCGTCGTTCGTCGTCGTCGTCGTCGTCGTCGTCGTCGTCGTGTCGGTCCCCTGTCCGTCCCTCTTGGGGTCGGGTCGACGGTCCGCGGCCGCCCCGCCGATCAGCGCTGCCGCTGGCCAGGCCGACGGTCCGCGGCCGCCCCGCCGCTTGCCGGGGCCCGGCCTGCAGGGAAGAAAGGTATACCCCCCAAAAGGGGTTCGATCGAAGACGAAGAGGGCGGGTATCGAGGGTTTGGGAAATACGCGTTATTGGACACTCGAGCATATAAGGGCGATCAGTCTCAAGTATTTTTATTATCATTATTATTGTTGTTGTGGTTGTTGAACTCTCACTTCTGAAGAACAATTATTGATGATCCACCTCGTCCGGTGCACATTGCTTTTATCGATTGAAGTGCCCTTCCGGGGGCTCGCACCCGTTTTTTTTATTGCGCCCTGTTTTTTTTATCCAGGGAAAGTCTTGAAGGTCAAACTGCGTTGTTGGCCCCCGGTTTACAACAACAGCGGTTCCCGCCTGATATTTCGTCACAATGTATTGAAGAACCGCGTTCTCGTTTGGGACTCCCTTGCAATTTACCACCAGATCGCGGTTTCCGCTTGATACTTCTTCACAAATTATTGAAGAATCGCGCTCTCGCTTGGGATTTCCTCGCAACTTACCAGTCTGGGCGCGCTTGGTGCCTCTGTGGGCGCGCGTGGGGCCTTTGTGGGCTGTGCCGGAGGGCGTCAATGGGCAGCGCGCTGGGGCCTCGGCGCGCTCGGCGCCTCTGTAGGAAGGGGTCTCTGTGGGCGCGTGTGGGGCCTCTGTAGGAAGTCGGGGCCTCACTGGTCAGCGCGCTGGGGCCTCCGTGGGCACGCTCGGGACCTCTGTGGGCTGCGTCGGGGGCCTCAGTGGGCAGCGCGCTGGTGCCTCTGTGGGCGCGTTTGGGGCCTCTGCGGGCTGGGGCCTCTGTGGGCGCGTTTGGGGCAATTGTTGGCTTTTCCGGAGGGCCTCAGTGGGCAGTGCGAGGGGGCCTCTGTGGGCGCGCTCGGGGCCTCTGCGGGCTGGGGCCTCAGTGGGCTCGCGTGGGGCCTCTGTGGAACGGGGGCCTCAGTGGGCAGCGCGCTGGGGCCTCAGTGGGCAAGCTTGGGGCTGGGATTTGGGTCTTTGTGGGCTGTCGAGAGCCTCAGTGGGCAGCGCGCTGGGGCCTCTGGTGGCGCGCTTGGGGCATCTGTGGGCTGGGGCCTCTGTGGGCGCGCTTGGGGCCTGAGGGCTGGGGCCTCTGTGGGCTGGTTCGGTGGGCAGCGCGCTGGGCCCTCTGTGGGCGCGCTTGGAGCCTCTGTGGGAAGCGCGGGGGAGCCTTAGTGGGCGCGATTGGCGCCTATGTGGGCTATGCCGGAGGGCCTGCGGGCAGCATGCTACGGTCCTTGTGGGCTTACTCGGGGCCTCAGTGGGTTGTGCGTTGGTGGCCTCAGTGGGCAGCGCGCCGTGACCTCTGTGGGGTGTGTCCGAAGACGTGAGTGGGCAGCGTGCTAGGGCCCCTGTGGGCGCGCTTGGAGCTTTTGTAGGCTGTGTCCGAAGGCCTCAATGAACAGCGTGCTGGGGCCTTTGTGGTTTGGGGGCCTCTCTGGCCAGGTCGTGTATGAGTAGTAAAGGGTGTGTCGAGCGGGAACCCCTGTCGTCACAGGTGGGCCTCCGGCGCCGCTACTGAATTGCAGTCTCGGGCCACGGGCTCTCGAAGTACAGCTTGAGGAAGTAACGAACGGGAGCCCTTGTCGTCGCGGCTTGGCCCACACCAAAGTGACTGAATTACGAGGGCGTCTCGAGCGAGAGCGCCACTCTTGAGTTCGGGCGCCTCTGACAAGGGGGCTTCTGCGAATACATCTAGAGGAAATATCTATCGAGAGCCCCTGTCGTCGCAATTGGGCCTCCACCACTTTGACTGAATCAGGAGAAAGTCTCGGGCGAGAGCGCCGTTCCTGGGCTCGGAAGCCTTCCTGGCCAGGGGCTCTCGGAGTAAGTTGTGAGGAAGTATCGAGCAGGAGCCCTTGTCGTCGTGGCTGGGCCCCCGCTAACTTGATTGAAATGCGAGGAAGTCTTGAGCGATAGCGCCGTTACTGGGTTCGGGGGCCTTTCTGGCCAGGGTGTCTCGAGGTAAATTGTGAGGAAGTATCGAGCGGGAGCCGTTGTTGTCGTAGCTGGGCCTCCAAGGGCCCACTCTTAGGCTCAAGCCAACGCTCGAGCGGCAGCCTTCTTTTCAGAGAAATGCAGCCAGCGTCGAGGCGAGAGCGTCCGGAACCGTTTCTGGATAACAGCAATACTTATTCTTTAGAGATGAGTACTCAACAGCGGATGCGACATCAAGCTACGGACCAGGGCCTGGCTTGGTCGACTGGAGGCAGCACTGCGTGCCGTGCGTCGAGGCCGTGCTGGGCCAGCCGCGGCGGTGCGCGCTCGTGCGCGTAATGGGGCGCACCGCGACGCAGCTGGCCCGCGAGATGTGCGACGGGGCTTGGGCACGTGGCGGAGTCAACCGCAGGGCGTTCAAGCGATGCCGCAGCGGCCTCTCGTTCTCCCAGGCGCGGATGGGCGACTCCATGCGGAGATACGAGACGTTGGCCCTGCGCCAGTGGCTGGCCGACCCAGTCCGCCCTCCTGGCGCACCAAGGTTTGGCTGGGCGCCTGGTGTGCGCAGGAGGGCACAGGCGCAGGGCGCGGAGGCGGCCGCCGCAGGCGCGGTGCCCAGCAGTCAACGCGACGGCCACCCCGCGGGGGAGGCGCCGCCGGGCCCGGCAGCGAGGAGGAGGAGGCTGGTCCCGTCCCGCGGCCCTCCTGGTCGCCACCGCCGAGCCCCTCGCCCCGCTCAGCGGCGAGGAGGGCTAGGCGGAGGCACCCGCAGCTGCGGAGCGGCCCACCAGCGGCCGAGGCGCGGCGGCGGCGCGGCGCGGCCCACCCGATGCCGCGGCGCACGCGGCGGAACGGCGAGGCGCCGTTCGGCCTCTTTCATCGCCCTCGTCTGGCGGCTCGCGGGGCGCGGCTCGACTGACGGGCTGCGCTTCCGCGCTCCTGATCTCCTGAGATCCTGCTATCCTCCTCCTCCTCCTCCTCCTCCTCCTGCAGTCGAGTTTAAACCTACTGGCAGAGTTTGGCTCGATGATGCACACAGTGGAACACCCTCCTCCTCCTCCTCTTCCTCCTCCACCTCCACCTCCTCCTTCTCCTCCTCTTCCTCCTTCTCCTCCTCCTCTTCCTCCTCCTCCTGCTGCCGAGTTTTAACCGGTTGACAGAGTTTGGCTCGATATTGCACACGGTGGAACATTATCCTCTTTCTCCTCCTCCCTTTCCCCCTTCTCCTCCTCCTGCTCCTCCTCCTCCTACCTTTCCTCCTTCTCCTTCTCCTCCTCCTCCTTCTCCTCCTCCTCCTCCTCCGCCTCTCCCTCCTCCTTTCCCTCCTCCTCCTCCTCCTCCTCATCATCATCATCATCATCATCATCATCATCATCATCATCATCATCATCATCATCATCATCATCATCATCATCATCATCATCATCATCATCATCATCGTCATCATCATCATCATCATCATCATCATCATCATCATCATCATCATCATCATCATCATCATCATCATCATCATCATCATCATCATCATCATCATCATCATCATCATCATCATCATCATCATTATCATCATCATCATCATCGTCATCATTATCATCATCATCATCACCCTCATCATCATCATCCTCATCATCACCCTCATCATCCTCATCATCATCATCGTCATTATCATCATCTTCATCATCATCAACATCATCATCATCATCATCATCATCATTATCATCATCATCATCACCACCACCACCACCACCATCATCATCATCATCATCATCATCATCATCATCATCATCGTCAGGGGCCGTTGCGGCTCCAGCCCCTGCGGGACCCAGGGACGCTCGGGACGGCGACCCAGGTCGGGGCATGTCGTGGAAGCTGTATTGGGCGCGCGCGGGGCGGAAGGCAGGCTTCGACTTCGTGGCGCCTTCAGGCGAAGCCCTGGTCCGAGGCCGCGGCGCCAGGATCGACTACACGCATCCTCGATCCCAGACCCCCTCGCGCTGCGAACAAAAATCACGACGGGAGGTTTTTCGCTGCTTTCGGCCTCCGGGGGCCCTCGCCGGGGCCGTCGAAAAACGACTTAGGATCAAAAACCGGTCCTGGGGTGAGACCTCGGGGGGTCGACGTTGTGAACAAATCATGACGTCGGGGGTCTGGGATTTTTTTTGCATACCACACGCTCCCCACCCCAGTCAGATTCCACCCCACAGACCCACGTTCAGTTTACAGCAACCGCGCCCCAGGGAGGGAATTTTGCATACCAAGTCCGCGACCAGGACCCTCGCCCTCCCCCCAGGGCTTTTTGTCATAGTATATAGTTTTTTCGGGCGGAACGTAAGAGTGACCTTTCGTCGGAGTGGCGGGCCCACGGGGCTCCTTCGATCGCCGAGTGCGGTGCGATAGTCGCGTCTTGCGCGCGCGTGGGTTTGCCCCCCCCCCCCCCCCCGCGGCCTCCCGAAATCTGGAAACCAAAGGTCGCTCTTGCGTGTAGCCAACTCGGGCAACGAGATCTACGTATGCATCCACTGCCCCAGGCGGGGTTTTCCTGGGGGGGGACCCCAGAACAAAAAGCCCAACTCGGTGTTTCTTCCGAGATTTGTCGGGGGTTCTGGGGCCCCACAATGAGAAACAAGACTATTTCAGAACACCCCCCGGGAAAACCCCGAACAAAAACCCAAGCTCGGTTTTGTTTGTGTTGCAGGGTGTTTTTGTTCCCCGTATCCTAAGATGGGGTTCTTGTTATTACTCGGACGCCGCCGACTCCAGAGAGAACACACCTACTCATGCACAGACTTATTCATACTCAGACCTACTCATACTCATACCTTCTCATGGTCTGATTTACTCAACACACAACATGCAGGCCTACTCATACTCAGACTTACTCATGCTGGGACTCCTTCATACCCAGACTCACTCATACCCAGACTTGTTCCCAGACCTGTTCATAAACAGACTTACTCAGACTCAGACCTACACATACTCATACCCTCTCATAGTGTGAGTAATTCAACGCACGGTCTGAGACCTACTCATACTCAAACCTAGTCATACTCAGACTCGCAAGGGGAGCCGCCAGGGGTGCTTTCACAGGCCCGTTCGCGGCGAGTTTGTGGGGATGTCTCAGGCGGTTTGCTCGTTTTCATGCCCAACATCCTTTGCTTTCAGAGCAGATTGTGAGGATGTCTCAGGCGGGGCGCTGGTTTCAGCACCCCTAAGGGGAGCCGCCAGGGGTGTTTTCACGGGCCTGGTCGCGACCAGCTTGTGGGGATGTCTCAGGCGGTTTGCTTGTTTTCATGCCCAACATCCTTTGCTTTCAGAGCAGATTTGGAGGATGTCTCAGGCGGGGCGCTGGTTCCAACACCCCTAAGCGGATTCCAGTGGTGTTCTAACGGGCCCGTTCGCGGCCAGTTTGTGGGGATGCCTCAGGCGGTTTGCTCGTTCTCATGCCCAATATCCTTGGCTTTCGAGCAGATGCTGCCAGGGGTGTTTTCACGGGCCCGTTCGCGGCCAGTTTGTGGGGATGTCTCAGGCGGTTGGCTCGTTTTCATGCCCAACATCCCTTGCTCTCAGAGCAGATCGTGAGGATGTCTCAGGCGGGGCGCTGGTTTCAGTTCCCCGAAGGGGAGCCGCCAGTGGTGTTTTCACAGGCCCGTTCGCGGCCAGTTTGCGGGAGATGTCTCAGGCGTTTTGTTCGTTTTCATGCCCAACATCCTTTGTTTTCAGGGCTGATTGTGAGGATGTCTCAGGCGGGGCGCTGGTTTCAGCACCCCTAAGGGGAGCCGCCATGGGTGTTTTCACGGGCCCGTTCGCGGCCAGTTTGTGGGGATGCCTCAGGCGGTTTGCTTGTTTTCATGCCCAACGTCCTTGGCTTTCAGAGCAGATTTTGGGATGTCTCAGGTGGGGCGCTGGTTTCAGCACCTCTAAACGGAGCCGCCACGGGGTAGGACACGGGCCCGTTCGCGGCCAGTTTGTGGGGATGTCTCAGGCGGTTTGCATGTTTTCATGCCCAACATCCTTGGATTTCATAGCAGATTTGGGGGATGTCTCAGGCGGCATCCCTAAGGAGAACCGCCAGGGGGAAGGACACGGGCCCGTTCGCAGCCATTTTGCGGGGATGTCTCAGGCGGTTTGCTCGTTTTCATGCTGCGAGGAAGGAGATGAGGCGTACTGTTCCCTTGGGTCGTGCTCCGGCACGTACCCTCTGGGACGCACGGGGGAAGGAGTCGAGGCGTGCTGCTCCCTTGGGTCGTGCTCCGGCACGTACCCTCTGGACGCACGGACCCATCGGATCCAGCATGTCTATATTCATTGAACGCAGTCTCGCTTCTTCGGTCGGACACGCCCATGCCTAGCACGGTGCCGCGGACGGGGGGGAGACAACGAGGTCTCCAAGGCGCTGGGCGCGGTTCCGCCGGCATTCGACAGGTCTTCCTGCGAATTGATTTAGGAACGGCGGCAGGGAGTGCAAATCAAGGTTCGACTACTGCGACGTCCTCGGGGGCAGGCGCTGCCGTTGTCAGCGCAGACGCGCGTTTTGCTCGGGCGTTCGACAGCCTTTTGGCATGGCTGGCTCCCGTGGGCGGAGCTTCGACTGTCGGAGCAAGTTGCGCAGATCTGGGCACCTTCGCAGCAACGGAGTTGGGCCTGTCGCCCACGGAGACAGAGGCGGCCGTATCTCAATTGCTGGATGACGGCGCTGTTTACGAGACGATCGATAAACATCTCCATGTGCTGGAAGGGCACGGTTCTTATTCCAGCGCGGTTGCGAACGAAGGCGACGGCGTCAACGGGGCGCTGGGCGACGCGCGGGACATCGTGGAGGGGGCCGACCAAAAGTCCGTCATGGCACAGCTGGCAGATATGAGGTCACAGGCGTGGTGATTCGCATCGCGCCTCTGGTCCTTCGCCCCGGCGCCAAGTGCAGAAGTTTTTTTGGTTAGTTATATATATATATATACACCTGCGTTGCTAGCTAGGCCCGATGCCAACTGCGGACGGCCAAAGCCGAGGCGCAAACCGCGAGGGTGCCATTTGTAGCACTTGCCTTTTGCACGTCATGTGCCTGCGACTTTTGTTTGCGTTGCCAGCTAGGCCCGATGCGAAGTGCGGACGGTTGAAGCTGAGGTGCAGGTCGCGAGGTGCCGTTCGAAGTACTAGTCATTCGTACTTCCCCTGGTGTTTCGGACGCGGCGCCGAAGGAATTCTGTGCCTTGACATAAAAGATGCGCGGGCATATGCGTGTCAAGGAATACGTGCGCGCGGTGGATGCGCAGCCGCGTTGCGCGCGCGCGCTCGCCGCTCGCACGGGCGCGCTCGTGGAGCAAAGAACTATCATGGACAAGTGCTTGCCGTGGCACTATCCTGCAGCATGATATGCACGCCTTGTGTGGCGAAACGTACTTTTTACATATCCCACTGCCAACTATCCTAAAACATGCGCGCATTACCACGGGCTGAGGAGGGCGCGGCCTGGCAGCTGAGGAGGGGGAATGAATGGGAGGCTCATGTTCAATCGTGCTCAAAGCACACTCTTACTCATACTCACCCACCCGCATTAGGATTCACTTGTATTCGCCGGCCCTGTCGCCCATGCGGGCGCGCTATTATAGTCAAGCGTTCATGAAGAGACGCTCATTATGGCATGACCAAACATGAGATGCACATATGGGGAGCTCCACGCAGTGAGTAGTTCTAGTTTTTCTCAGTTCTTTCGGGTGAGCGGTGTCTGTGCCTCCCTGGCCACGCCAGGAGGGCGTATATCACCGCTCGTGGGCCCAGGATGGGCCAGGCCCGGTGCCGTGGGCGATTATAGAGCCAGTAAATGGACAATCTATTCGAACCCTGACACATTCGAGGGAGATTCTAAATCACCCCCGCGCCCTCGACATCAATGTTGATATCAGCAAAGGCGGTGCTTTGGAGTTCGAATATTGCGAAGGCCTCACGGCCGGTGCCGCCGACCCTGGAGGGCGACCCATGCGTTCTCTAATGTGGCGGGGGGGGGCCTCTTGGGGTTTCCTGGGGGCCTCTTGGGGGTCTCGTGGTGGCCTCTTGGGGGCATCTTGGGGTTTCCTGGGAGCCTCTGTCGCCGAGGGCTCGTCGGGCCCCCCGTCTGGGCACCCTGTTGGAGCCGTTTGGGGAGCCTCTGGGGCCATTTTGGAGGCATATTGGGCGGTCTTGAGGCTCTCTTGAGTCATTTTGGGGCTCTCTTGAGGCCTCTTGGGCCATCTTGGGGCAATCTTGGGGGCATCTGGGGCCGTCTTGGAGCGTCGGCAAGTTGAAACGGCGAGAACGCCAAAATCTGTCAAAAACTTTCTAAGGAAATCGTTGATTTGTCCCTCTTCGTGCCCTCTTGGGAGTGCTCGTGGAGACTTTTTGGAGCGTTTTGGCAATATCTTGGGCCGTCTGGAGGCTACTTTGGCGTCTTCGACCGATGGTTCGGCGATTCGGGGCCCTCTGGAGCCGTCTTGGAAGCCTTTTGGGGCACTCTTGGCCAGTCTGGGGGCTTTTTAAAGTCCCGGGACATCCCGGGGGGGATGCGTATCTGCCCCCCTCCCCCCCCCGGGAAGCCCCCCCGGCGGGGAAGGGAACAAAGGGAAAGGGCTTCCCTTCGACTTAGCTACGACGTTGCTCAATTTCTCTCTGCCTTCGACTCAGCTACGACGTTGCTCGATCTCGCTTGGGTTTCGCTTTGGCTGGCGCGCCTGAGGGGAGGGCGTCGACGACGACGACGACGACGTCGACGACGACGACGACGACGACGACGACGACGACGAACGGAAGAGCATCGACGACGACGACGACGACGACGACGACGGCGACGGCGACGACGACGACGACGACGACGTCGACGACGACGGCGGCGACGACGACGACGACGTTCACGACGAACGGAAAAGCATTTTCCACACGCCGACAGGGTCGGCGGATTTCTGTCCACCCACGTCCCCCCCGTCGCGACGCCATCAATATTGATTTCGGGTGGTGTAGGGGGCATCTCGGGCCGCAGGGTTCCAATATCATGTCCATGTACGGTCTTGTCGCTCTACCAGCAGGATAGCGCCAAGGCCACCGGCCCGCGCTGCCGCGGGCGTGCCCTGCGCGCGCGGCCCCGGCGGCGAAACGCGCAGCTCGCCGGGAGGTTCGCCGACTCGGCCGCGCGGCGCCTCGCGGCGGGACGTGCAGGTCGGCGCTCGCCGCAGACATCGGGCGCCTCGAAGAAATCGAGGCAGAGGTTTTTCATAGTTTTTAGCCTCTCGGGGCCCTCGCCGGGCATCGGGACCGTCAAAAAACGACTCGGGTTAAGTCGGGCCTGTCCCTCTACAGGGGGAATATCCAAAAATAGTTAAAACATAGTCGGGGGACAATTGTTTGAGTATCTTTTGATCATTTTGGACCTTTTTCCGTATTTTTTATTCTCCGCCGATAATCCCCCTGTAGGGGGACACGCCCGACTTAAGACTCGGGACAAAAGCCGGTCCCAGGGAAGTGGTCGGGAGGTCGGGGGCCCGCGTTTCGAAATTATCCTGGCGAAAGACCCAACCATACGCAAGTGTGAGCACCGCAAGGCAGGGGGACGAAACAACAGGAATTCCCAACGGGGCTTCGAACCGTGTGAGGGGTGCGCCAAAATGGAGCGGAGCCGCCATGCGAACCCTGCCACTGGGGCCTTCGGTGGAGCTCCCTATGGGGCCACGAACCGTGTGAGGGGTGGGCCAAAATAGCGCGGGGCCGCCATGCGAACCCTGCCAGTGGGGCCTTCGGTGGAGCTCCTTGTGGGGCCACGAACCGTGTGATGGGTGCGCCAAAATGGAGCGGGGCCGCCATGCGAACCCTGCCACTGGGGCCTTCGGTGGAGCTCCCTATGGGGCCGCCACGAACCGTGTGAGGGGTGGGCCAAAATGGCGCGGGGCCGCCATGTGAACCCTGCTATTGGGGCCTTCGGTGGAGCTCCCTATGGGGCCACGAACCGTGTGAGGGGTGCGCCAAAATGGAGCGGGGCCGCCATGCGAACCCTGCCACTGGGGCCTTCGGTGGAGCTCCCTATGGGGCCACGAACCGTGTGAGGGGTGCGCCAAAATGGCGCGTGGCCGCCATGCGAAACCTGTCACTGGGGCCTTCGGTGGAGCTTCCTATGGGGTCGCGAACCGTGTGAGGGGTGCGCCAAAATGGGGCGGGGCCGCCATGCGAACCCTGCCACTGGGGCCTTCGGTGGAGCTCCCTATGGGGCCACGAACCGTGTGAGGGGTGGGCCAAAATGGCGCGGGGCCGCCATGCGAACCCTGCCACTGGGGCCTTCGGTGGAGCTCCCTATGGGGCCACGAAACGCTGTACTTGGCGGGTGAAACGCAGGGAGGAGAGAGGAGGAGCAGGAGGAGGAGGGAGGAGGGCAGCGGGAGGAGGAGGAGGTGACGCGGGGCGCTGTCTCTTCAAAACGAGGACCCAACACCACAGGATGGTTGGGAAACATCGAGGCGTCGGATGTCTGGGGACCTGAACGGTGTGTTGTGGCGATTTCGCGGGCCGCTCTTCGGCTGACACGACGGGAGCTTTTCTGTTACTCTCGGCCCGTGGGGGCTCTCGCCGGGCCTCGGGGCCGTCAAAATGAATGACGCAGGATGAGAATTCTGCCCTGGGGAAGGGCTCTGGCCCTCTGAAGACACCACGGCCTCGGAGGTCTGGGGTCGGGCGGGGCGGGTGGGATGGCTTGCCGGGGGCTTCCAGGAGGGCTTGGAGGGCGGGGGTCAACTTCTCTTCAGCTGCACGTGAGAGTGATCCCTCGCCGGAGTGACCTTTGGTGCGGGCTCACCTGGCCCCCCCGATCGCAGAACATGCGACAGCAGCGTCTTCCGCACTCGTGTTTGGTCCCCCCCGCGGCCCCCGGAAAGCTGCGCACCAGTGGTCATGCGTACATGCGTACCGAGGGTCGCCCTTGCGCGTGGCCGAGTTTTCGTTCCGACTTCCTTCTGCAGCGAAGGCGGAGCAGAGACAGAACGAGGGACAACGAACTAACCCGGAGAGGCAAGTAAGAAAGCCCCTCCGGCGAAAGTATAACGCTCCAGCACCCTGGAAGCGTTACCCTGGCACCTCGCAACCTGCACGATAACCCCGGGGGGGTTCTTGATTGCTTCCTGCGGTTACAGAACGAAGCGAAGCAGTGCAGGTCGTCCTCTTCGACCTGCTGGTCGGCTGCACGCTCAGCGGGGCGGTGTGCGCCGGCCCAGGCTCGCGCACCATCGGCGTCGCCATAGATCGGCGGTGCCCGCTGGGCGTCCGCGTGCTCGAGGGGAAGGGCATGCCCTGCGTCCCCGAG